AGTGTAATTGCCCAGCACTTCATCGACGGTGAAAGGACCATACCAAGAGGAGTCAAGGGAGTGAGCCGCCTCGCGCCATCTGAGTACAAAATCACCTTTCTTGAACTGACGACGATTGTTAATGGGGTTGGTAGTAGGGGTTCGGAGGAAGCTATCAGCTTCGGCCTTGTCTAGAAGAGCGATGATATCTTTGAGTTGGGCATTCCTTCGCCTCAAACGCCGGTCAGCCTCGAACTTGACGGAGTCATCAGAGATACCCGAGCGGAGGTCACAGAACCTATCGCTCCACGGAGAGCAACAAGGGCGACCGTAGAACAATTCAAAAGGGGTAGTAGAGGTGTCACCCAAGCACCGAGAATTGCATCGAGCCATCGCAACAGGTAGGAATTGGGGCCACAGGTCAGTGTCGCCAGCACACAGAACCTTGAGCACCTTCTTCAAGACACCATGCTGTCGTTCCAACAGAGAATTGCGATGGGGAGCAAATGACGGTACATAGGTTGGGACGATACCCCTAGAATAGCACCATCCACGGAAGGTTGTTGACCTGAATGATGGAGCATTATCCATACGCAAGCTACGCATGCAACCATAGGGATAGATTAGTCTACTCTCGAGGGTATCGATGAGAGACTGAGAAGTACTGGAGCTAATAGCAAAAAACCAGATATGTCGACTAGCTGCATCCATACAGCTTAATACAAACCGGTAGGGATGCTTGGCTGACAAGGGTAGGGGACCAACGACGTCGATGAAGACACAGTCCATCGGAACCATAGCACCACCAAGGGAAGTTGCGACAGGCCTGTCGGTCCCCCTCCTGGCACGGGTATACTGGCAAATACACCGGCTAATGACCTTCTGGACAGCCTTGGCCAACCCAAATATATAAAAGTGCTTGGAGATGCATGCAGTAGTCTGCTTGCTGTCCGAGTGACCGTAGAAGTAATGATACTTCCGAGCGATATCAGGAGCATATTTTCTAGGAATCACATAGCCGTCTTTCAATCGCATAAGACCACAATCGTCAATCCAAAAACGAGACAGCTTACGATCAATGAGAGAGCGAACCTTACCACACTCCTCATCCCCCCTCTGGACATCATAGAGCCATCGGCGGGCGGATTCGGGGTCAACGGGGACATCGGAACTCTCCTCGAACGGCACTCTTGTTTTCCACGCTAGGAAGCACCTCCTGAGGCCAT